GTGGGGCCAGAGTCACACCCACAACAGCCCTCTGCCCTTCCCCACTTGTCCTCTGTAGCTTCTGCCCCCTGCTGCTCCCTTCCCTTCTCTTACTGTCAGGTGCAGTTCAGGTCAGGCTGAATTTCCTCCACAGGGCACATGGAAGCGCTGTCCCTTGTCCCATGCAGCAGCGTTGGTGCTGCTGCTTGGCTGGCAGGAGCTGCACTTCCATGTGCTGTGTTCTGGGAGGGAACAGAGCCCAAGAAGCATCTGACAATAAAGGCAGGGGTGGGGGAGGAAGAGGTAGAGACTGGGGAGCAGTGGCAGGGGAAGAGGCTTTGGGGAGCTGGTGCTGGGGGGCTGGTAGTGGCAGGGGCAGGAAGGCTGCAAGGGGAGGAAGGGGGGGCAGAGGGCAAGGGGCCACCTGACTTCCCCCCACCCCCCTGCAGCCACTGCTTTCCCTGCTGTAGTAGTGAGAGGGGGACAAATTCAAGACAACCCTCTGATAATTAGTTTCTGTATCTGGAAGATTATTAAAAAATTATAGATTTTTCCATACAGGCAGTCCTTGACTTTCAAAATTTCGAATTACAACGTTTTGCACTTAAAACATTTATAAATTGACACCCTGTTTCAACTTTCTGACATCAGTTTTGACTTTACAATGCTTGATCTGACATGACGCCAAGCCAGTGAACAAGTTCGCTGCGTCACCCATCTCCCTGGAGAACAGCTGTCCAAGCTTCCTTGGACGCTTTCTTTAAGAAAGCAGACAAGACTCCAGAAAAACCTGCAGCCAAGACTCCTGAGAAAAATCCAGCCAAGAACCCATCAAAAAGTCCAGCAAGGTCACCTCAAAAAAGTTCTTCCAAATCAATATGATTGCTATTTACAATATAAATATATTAATGTAGCTATATTACTCATCTATAATTGATTGAGTACAAAATTCTGGGGTATTTTTGGTGAAAATAGGGTATATAGGGCCTTAGTTCAGGAACCAGTGCCCCATTTATAACGTCGTTTCCTATGGGAAAATTGGTTCCAAGTTACAACACTTTGACTTAAGATGCTGTTTTCAGGAACCGATTGTGTCGTAAGTCCGAAGACTGCCTGTATATAGAATCTAATCATTGCAGGGGTCATCTTGAATTAAGGGTCAACTTAGATTCCTGTAAATATGTATCTTTTGATTCATTGCTTTCAACTTTCTGTCATTACTTTTCATGATAGACACCTAGTATTTTTTTCTTTTTTCTGGATACATAGCACCACACTGAGGTAGAGAGCTAGAAGTCTTTCTGAGTCTTAGGTCCACCTGCTTACATCCTCATTTTGGTGACTGCACTGGAGGGGAGCTATTTAGAATCATAGTCTTAGTATGCACATTTAACAGCATTTAATAGTTTCCTTTTTGCCAGATTGTCACTCTTTATTTTTCTTGGCTTCCTCTCCACTCTCATCAAGGACCACCATCTCTGCCACTGCCTGCCTTAAATGCCCCCCATTTCCAAACACTTGCTGGTCCACCTGGAAAGATCTGGTATTTGGGCCTGACTCAAAACAACTTTGTCGCAGTCAGTGGGTATTTAACAGTTCATTTACAAAAAATGTTGGATTACATTCTCCTTTATCTTTTTTGGCTTCCTCCCTTCTTTTGCTATACCAGTTTAAAAAAGACCACTTTAATCACAGAAATGTGCTTACTGAGGGTGAGTGCAGTGCAAAGTAGAAACTTCAGTATGACTTCTGTTGAATAAGTTTAATGAAGCTCAGGAGTGGAGGGAGTTTCTCATGGCTGAGAAAACCTCTCTGTCCTTTACCTGGGAGCTATCAGAAATGAGCCTTTTCTTGATTATGGAGCTGGCTAAGGGGTGTCTTTCAATGAGCCAGGAGACCGTTAAAAAAGATAGATTCACTCAGAGCAGGTCTACACTGTGGTGTTGGTGTTTCCAACCACCCAGGAACTCCTGCACCAATACTGTAGACCCAGAAAAACAACGGAGAGGCAATTCGAGGGTGTCCCTTGGTGGCTGTTTGCATACGTACTAGAAGCTGGTGTCCTGAGAATGGCTGCAGAGAGATGCCCCAGAGTCTTTCCAGGCTTGGAGAGTATGTGTGTAAGAGCTGGTCCACCAGCAAGTGTTCGGGAATGACTCACTTGTGATGTCCTGCTGCCGCAAGCCTGCTGAGGCAGCTTATGGACATCATTAACAGAAAAAACAGCCCTTCCAGAAAGAATGCTCAATCAAAATTCCTCCTCTTTTAGCACAGCACTGCAGCCATAAGCAGCAGCAGCTGCAGCCCTATAAATTCTAGAGGAGTTTTTATATTGGGAACAGGAAGTTGCTACAAGGACACCTAATCACATTTTTTTCCAATGGAATATTGAATACAGTGGCTACATGGGAGGGTTGACATAGCATTCTAGCTCTCAAGATTTCCAAAAGATTATGGAGAGAGAAATTCAGTGATGACAAATGGCAATAAGTTTTTTGGACTAAAAATTATGTTAACTAATCATTTTGAACTCTTACATTGTTCGCACCCCTTAAACTTCCTGAAGTCTCTTCCAGTCCTATTTTTGTATGATTCTGTGTTGAGAAATATTATCCATTTTATTCATCCCCGTCTTTGACAGTTTGACTTAATTAGGTAGAGTGGCTTCAACAGTTGTCTTATCTCAGGATTAATTCTGCATGATGCACTCGTTGTTCATTTCTGCTATTTCTGATATAGTCTTCTTACAGTGTTTGATTATTTGTTGCTATTTTGAGGGGGCAATGCTTTGTTCTTTCCTAGCCTTCTTATTCAGGTAGCTATTTTTTCCAGTCTGATGGTCTCGGTACTGAGAATACTTTTGTCACACTCTTATAAACAGCCTGAGTGGAGAATCCATAGCTGTGGAATGCACAAGTTCATTATAGAATCTTTATGTCCATGAAGAACACACCAGAGCCTTGTTTTGAAATGCCTCAAAGGAAAGACCTCAGGCACCCCAGGAGTAAAAGCTGGACAGCATTCAGCTTCTCTATATCTTTTTTATGATTGAAGCAGAGGATTGTGTAAGAACTGACGTGTCTGTCAGAATTATTGTACTGATGTCAAATTCCTTTGAAATCTTGCAAGTTGCATAAAGAGGGATATGGATGATTCTACACTCCACTGAATGGCGCAATATTGGTTGGGGAGGGTTCATCTCCTTAGCCTATCTAACTTCACTAACATAGAACATAATTACACTTATTTTATTACAGTGGAATGGGCATCATCCTCTATTAATATTTTTATGCAGAATTCAGGAAAGGATGGCACCTTAGAGACAAACTGTTTCAGAGAAGCATAAGCTTTTGTAGGCAACCATCTATTTTGTCAGATGCTATGTATGGATTCTGGACTAACTGGGTGCCTTTTTGTTCTTCAAAATTTCCTATTCAGAAGCTGAAATTCTCAGGGAAAAAATAAATCAAATATTGCCTATTTTTTTTTTCAGTTTTACATTCTTGAGAGGCACCAACAAATACAGTGGAAGAGTCACGTGGTACAAACTCTCTCACATACAGCTTACTACACATTCTGGAGAAACATCTTTCTGGATAAGAAGTATAAAACCATAAAGAAAATATTCATAACATATGCATCAAAAGGATCAGAAACTTACAGGGATTTGAGTTTTTTTAGGTAATCAAACTGGTCTGCTTGTATTTTCTGGATGGGATTATAGGACAAATTCCTGTAAAGACAAATGTAGGGACATATTAATTCCATGCATCTTCCTGAAAACTTGTCCTAATGAGAATCTTTGTTTTTAAATCCTATCCTTTTAACTCAGAAAAATGGCAGTTACAATTGAAAAAACAGTCTGGCATCTTAGGCCCCTAATACATGATACATTCAAGACACAATTAACAGGTAAAGGTCAATTTAAGACATGATAATAGAGTTAACGAGCCACAAACATATTCCACATATTCATGTGTAACAACTTGGTGGCTCATTTGTATCACACCTTAAATTGAACCCTAGGACTGGACCATGACCGATACCAACATTCAGCTGAGTGTTAGAATCTTGTCACGGGGCAGCCCCAGGGCTGGGGATAGAGCTGTCCAGGCAGCCCAATCCCAGGGTCCCCATGCACTGGGACCTTTAAAACCCCTGTCCTGCCCAGCTAAGTGGCACATGGAGTTTTAACTTAGCCCTGGCTCATGGTGACCCAGAGCTCATTGTTGCCTGGGGCCTGACTGAGGCCAGTTTCAGATCCTGCTTTGGTACCTGGCCCCACCTAACAGTCAGCTGATTGTCAGCATTTGGGTTTTAACCTGCTGCTGTGGGAGGAGCTGAAATCACACATGGCAGGGGACACAGTTTTTGGGATTGTGTCTTGGATCCCATGGTGCCTTAAACCAAACATTAGTCAGATGCATTAGTAAAGAGGAGAATAGTTTGTGGCTTCATGGACAAGGTACTGGTACACAATTTTTAAATTTTTAAAAAAATTTTATAACTATTTTGGTTGCAAAACTTTTTCCACTCCTTGTATTCAGAATACCTCAAAGAATGGCATATATTTAAAAACAAGTGGCAGCTTCTTTTCCTAATCTTTAAAATCCATCTTTTCAGATGTATTGATGTGGCATGATAAACACAAAAGGGCAGTGAAATTAAAAAAAAGAAAAACAAGCGTCTGGTACAGCTACTTAGTGTAGGCATATGTTTGTACATGTGCTGAAGGGGACAGGTTTCTTTTTCCTTCCTCCACACTTGTGCATTTCACAGGTGCCAGTCACAAGGCAGTGGTACAATATGTACAAGAAGCCAAAGAAACTGGGTGTGGAAAGCTTTAGTCCTGCCTGCAGTTATTCTGAGGAAACCATCAAGAGTGCAACAAAGTTGTGAGGCATTCAGAAAACAGTGGTCTTTCCTGGTTAAAAATATTCATGTAGATTTATTTTGCAAAAGAATGGAATGATAGTGACACACGCTTAAACTGGATCAAGTCATTCATCACAGAAAACGTTGAGTGTCAGTCCTCAGGGAGGTAGCAGAGGATGCACGAGTAAGGGTTTTCCCAGGGTTCCGTGATGCTGCAATCTTTTTTTCTACCTGTATGAGCTAAGGTAATAAACTGGATCTAAGGTAAGACTGAACATATAGGCTAGGGACAGGCATTCAAAGCCTGATCCTGAATTGATTCAATTTTTGCAGGTTAGTGTAGGCTAAATCAGTTTTTAACCCAGACACATCCCAGAAGTGCAGGAACATGCCTGCCGTGGCTCAAGCTAGAAGCTGGCGGGGAGGTGCTAGAGCTATCCTCCCTTTGCTTCCACAGGGCAGAGCTGAGGGGGGCATGGCCAGGCCCCGGCAGGACGCTCTGATTATTTTCCCCCCTCCTGAGCTGCCCAGTAGGGAATGTTATCATCCTTAACTCAGTGTTTATCAACCCATTATGAAAACAAAGTCTCTCTCCATTAATTAATGGAGCTCCTCTTAAACAGCTCTTCCAAGGAAGGCCATTAAGCTACCTGTTGATTAGCTCCAAAAAGCCTGTCTGCCTCTGGCCTCTCCCACAGCATGGACCATAGCCAGTGTGTGGTCTGCTAGATAATGCTGAAGTGTCTGCATAAGGCAGAGGGGAGGGGGAAATAATCCCTGCTTAGCAGAGAGAAGCCAAGCAGACCTTGCTGTGCCTGCAAGTCTGTGCTGAGCTCTAGCAAGGGAGCAGAGGGGAGGGGCCAGCCCTGCAGTGGACTAGAGAGCCCCACTCAGTCCAGGGCACATGCCAGGATGCTTGGGGTGTCTGGTTTATCTTAAACTAGCAAGGGGTCTGGGACAGACTGCATAAACCAGTTTTAGTCAAATCAGTTAAGTGTGATACTACATTCAACCAGGTTTATCTCAAATCAATTTCAGCCATTTTCAAACTGGTTTATGTGCACTGAGCATCTGTTCTGTTACAGATTTAAGCCCATTACCAATCACTTAAATCAGTTTGTGTGTAATATCTGTCCCTAGCAATATAAACTCATCCTCTGGAGAGGTCCTTACATTCTGTGACACTAATCCCCATCAGAGAGGGGCACACATAACTAGGCTACTATGATGCCTAAACAGTCCCCACACCTTGGAAACACAGAGTAGGTAGAAGTACACAGGTGGGCATAGACTATGGCTGTAGACAGAAATGCAACTCCCTGCTGTAACTGAGAAGACTTTGCAGGAAGCACTTGGAGTTACAACAATCCCTGGACCAAACAGAAGTTCACCATTGATTCCAGTGGGGAGGGGAATCTAGCTGCTGCCTGAAGCCTGCAGTCAGTTTCCCCTAGCAATGGTCTCTCCTTTCTCCCAGCTGGGTTCCTGTTTTCAGAATGGGTGGGGGGAAGGGAGCAGAGGAAGCTCATTCTAGGGGTTCCCCAGCTGGTGCTCCCCATGGGGAGTTCTAATACACCTCAGGGGGCTCCAAAATACTGACCCAGCCCTCCAGTAGGGGCTGAAAAAAACCCAGATCAAACTCCCTCCACTCCCTTTCTGCCCCCCCCCCC